TGGAAACTTTTTAATAATTAAAAAGTGAGATATAGAGGAAAGTCCTCAGAATGTAAGATTTTTAAGAAGATAAGAATTTAAGAAGATATGAACAAGGATTGCAACCTTTACTGGAGAGTATGTCCACATGGATGAAATCAGAGACCTATCAAAACATTGACATAATGACATTATCTAACTTTGGCATTACTGGCATTAGCAGATATACCTTCCTTCAAATTACAATTATACCAAGTACATATCAATAAATATTATAACTATTATTTATTTGTAGAACAGAGAATTTATAGTAAGGCAAAACTTATGGAATACTACTGTGCTGTAAGAAATGATGAGCAGGTTGATTTTAGAAAAACATGGAAAGATTTACATGAAATAATGAAGAGTGTAACTAGTAGAACCAAGAGAACGTTGTATACAGTAACAACAATATTGTTCATGACTAAGTTGTTCTGAGTAATATGAATGTTCAAGTCAACTACAAAGGACTTTCAAAAGCAGATGCTATCCACCTCTAGAGGGAAAAAAACTGTTATGTAGAAGCATGTACTATATGATTTCACAAAAATATCTGTATGAAATGTTGACCTTCTCTAGTGCGGAGTTAGGAGGGAGGGAGACAGGGAGACAGATTGGAACTCAAAATCTAAAAAAGAAAATAAAATAAATGTATTTTTTAAAAAGGAAAAAAGAAAACATTTAGTCCAATTCTTCATTTTATAGATGATTAAACTGAGGCCCAGAAAGGAGAAGCACCATACCCAATTTCAAAGTGGTAGTAAATTCAGGTCCTCTAACTACAAGTTCAGTGTTCTTTTTATCACACCAAAGTTGCATCTCAAATTAATAATTTTTAAAAGTTAATTTCTTAAGCTAAGGGATATCCTTATTAAAAACTGAAAATGTAAGTACAAAAGTGATTAAAAGTCAAGCAAAGATTAATTTAGGGTAGAATTAATCCAAGAAGATTTCTTAGAGATGAGTTTAGTTTAAGGATAAGATAGAGGTGAATTGGTGGGTTAGAAATTGAAGGTTATAACAAAGGATAAGTAACGTATTCAAAGAAAAGAAGGAATAATTTTCCAGGGCTGCATGGGACATACTCTTTGCAGCTTGTGACCCAGACTTTTATATTTCTTTATATGCCAACTTTTCAAATGAATTTAATGGAAAATTACCAGCTTGACCTGGAGACGGGGGAAAGAGGTATCTCTTCACGCTAAGGTACTAAGCTTTAAAAACAGGAAAATGCAATTTGTGTTGTGAGATGCTGAACTGGAGCTGGGAATACAGAGATCTTCTGGCCAATTGCCTGAAACCTCGCTCCGAACCTCAGCTTATTTTCAGGATCACAGCAATGCTTCTATTTAAAACAGCAGACTTTGATGGCTTTGTTGCCATTCCAGATGGGTTGCTGAGTCTGTTTAAAGATTTAAATAGGTGTGAAGTCATCTATTAAGGTCTCAAAGCCACAGAGAAAGGCAGCAGTTTGCCTAGCTCAAAATGAAAGATGAAGAAATTGTATTGTATCTACATATTGCTTCATCCTAACATTTCTTTGGTTGGTTATCCTTGTAGGAAGCTTCTTTTCCAGTCACTGATTTCCTTATCAGTAAAACTGTTACTACAGCTCTCCTAGTATAAAAGGATTATTGGACTGGAAGGTGCTTGTCAAAGACTACTACTGAAGGATGCTTCATAGAATGACCCAGGAAGAAGAACTGGCAAGACGATGTTACCAACATCGCCATACTAGCTATAGAGTAAGTTTTATTGGAAACTTCTCTCTTGACAGAAGAAATGCTAAGGACAAGCTGAAACCCAAGGTTAAGGAGAGAAGGGAAAACAAAGCCAGAACCCTGTCCAAGTGGACAATACCTCTTTCTTAAAAATTAGGGAGTCTTATTTGGTGCTAAGAGAAGTTTGATATTCTTCTCCCTGTGTTTTTTGTGGATTCAGGAATTAAAGGAGAGTTACAGTTCAAAGAGGTACACCTGCTCGGGTTCACAGAGGAAACAAATTGAAGTCCTCTGACTACAACTCCAATGCTTTCTTTACCATATCAAGATTGTTTCTTATATTCTTAATTTTTAAAAGTTAATTTCTGAAAGCAAAGAATGGTCTTATAAAAAAGCTGGGGAAAAAAGTGCATAAATCATTAAAAGGAAAAGTAAATTCTTGGTGCCAGTGACATAGGTTTAGTCCCTGTCTATAATCTAGGGGTAGCTTGGGTCAAGAACACTGGGCCAGGCAGGAGCACTAGGGTCTAGTTCCCATCCCGCAATCGCGATGTGGTACTTGCAGCTGCTACTTAGGCTGTGATGGACGTACAAGATGTTGGGGAGACAGAAGTGGCAAGACTAGCAAACTGATTAGATGTGTAGGGTGAGGAAGAATCAGGATTTGAGAATGATTATGAGGGTGTGAAAATGCATGACTGGAAGGATGATAAACTCTTTGGCAGAAATAGTAAAGTTCAAAAAAATAGGGATGAAGTTTTTTGTGGGGGTAGAGAAAGACAGTAAGTTCTTTTTTGGATATGCTGAGCTTGAGATGCCTATGGGAAGGACACCCAGTTCAAAGTGTTCAATAGGGTTAGGTGATGGGCGACCAGAGCTCAGAAGAAAGTTTAGGGCTGGATACATAGATCTGAGTGTCATCTGCACAGAGATGATAACTGAACCTTTGACAGCTAATAACGTCACTTAGAAAGTGTGTACAGAGAGAAAAGAGCCTATATATCTATAGTTAGGAGGCAAGATATAGATGATGATCTAGTAAAGGAGACTGAAAAAGATCAGACACGTAGAAGGAAAACCAAGAATCACCAGAAGTGAGAGGAGAAAGTACAGGGGAAGGTAGGCAACAATTTCGAATGGTACAAAGTAGTAAAGAATGATAAGTTTTAAGAAAATGCCATCAAGTTTGGGGGTCAATGATAGCTGGAGAGAGCAACTTCAGTAGAGCGATGACTTCAGAAACTAGATTGCAAAGAGCTGAAGAATGAATGAGGGGAGAAGTACAAGAAATGAGAGCACACAACTTTTTTTTTCTTTCCTAAAAGAGAGTTACCTAAATATTGAATGGATTGACTTGGCAGGCAGTGAGTTCCCTCCTAATGAGTAGTCTCCAAACAAAGGTTAAAAGACTTTGCAGGTATGTTGTAAGAGAGGATTCTTGTTCAGGTACAGGATGGCTTTTAAAGTTCCTCCCAACTCTGAGATTCTGTGGCAACTGTCATTATTACTATTATTACTATTTGTAATTAGGTGTTCTGTTTCTATGGCTAAAAAATTCATCATTTTCTCCACTGTGTATAGCTATTTCTGAATCACTCAAACTAACTTGATTTGTTAATTTTGGTTTTCTTTCTAGCAAAGAAGCAAAAGTAAGGTGGTGAAATGATCAGGTACTAGCTCAAAAGGGTAAGAAATCTTGCCATGTTTAGATTACCCCCCAAATCATTATACAGCAAGCTCTGTAGGAGAAAAAGCTTTTTCAAAATAAATGTTTCTCTAGTCATGCTGCTTCTGCACTAGGCATTGTCAGCATATGGCCTTCATTATTAAGTGGTTCCTATTAAATTGTACATGTACACAATGCTGTAAGCATTGTACTGGCAAGTTAAATGTTAGAAGCTTACAGTAAAATAAACAATATCAATTTTAATGATCCGGAAGCTCAGGAAAAGATACAGGAGCTATACAGTGAAATAAGGTACAATGTAACATTGGACTCAAAGATAAATTTCATGCTAATTATATTGCTGAAACCATCAAGGCAAAACTGAAAGTTTAAGGCAATCTAAATAGCTTTGCATATAATCCCGTAATTAAATTTAATGAAAAAAATAGAGTACCAACAATTAAAAGGGGGAAATAGAGAAAAAGTCAACCCATTTTACTTAATACTGGTTATAAGCAAACTATGAAATAAACAATTCAATTGGCAACTTTTAAACATTTAAATAATTAAGTGACTATTTTAGTTTTACTAGTAAAGAATATAGCATATATTTCTAAAGCAAGAAAGAGGTTCATGGACACCTTTTTAATGCATTTGAAGTACTTCTCAGAGAATCAAATTCAAGGCATAGATTACAATTTAACTTCTAGATTTGATAGATAGCAAGCATTAGAAATAGCCTAGAAACAGAAGGAAAAGAGATCAATTAAATGTTTAACATAAAGAAGGCTCACTTGTAAAGTAAAAGCTATCAGATAAATAACAGTAAATTTCAGACTAGAAGCTATTTATAGCCTCTATGGTGCAAAATTGCCAGTGCAAGCAACATATAAAAAAGTGACCGATTTTAGCATTGGTGAAGTAACTAAAATCAAATAAAAAAATCTTCCTGACTTTTAATTATAGATCAATGTAAAAAATATGTAGGTCATCAGCAAAGATTTGAAGGTAAGTTAGAGTTGTTTATTCACAGTAATACACAATGTAGGTCAATCTTGGGCTATGGAAAAATGTAAATTAATATATATTTGATAAGTGAAATAGTATGCTTTTTTCCCTACATGTAAACACTGCCCTTAAGGAAATCAATAATTTTTTTTTTAAAAAATGATATAATGTCTCTCTCTTTTCTGTTAATAAAACAGGTAAGAAGCAGTTAGGTTGAAACCTAAAAAGTATTACTGGGATAAAATGGTTATACAATTCACAGAAAAATAAAAACTTATTTCTGAGACTAATTTCTCTAATCCCTTTATAAAATGCAAGCTAATATTTAAACAGAAGAAAAAAGCAAATAAAATGCTAATAACAACACAAAAGAAAAGCTGAAAATGCCAAAGTTAAGTAGACAGTTGGAAGGAACAGCTGGGTTCACAAAATGGCATATGTGAAGAAAAAAGAAAAAGGAAATGATGGAGAAATTGTAAGCGTAAGCCATTTTCATACTCTCTTTGATTTATTCTATAATTTCACACATTCTCACTTCAGGGGAAGAAAATGATAACTTGAGGAAAGAGGAGTCAATTACTACTTGCCTTATTTTTCTTAGCAAAGTGTGGAAGGGTCTGAACAGCTCAGACATATCTTCTGCCTTACGGTCCAGGTTCAAAGGTCCTTCAGAGTAAACTACAAGCCCACTGTATTCAAGATACAAAAGTTCCTATTTTATATGAACACTGAATAAATAAAATATACAAGATAAACATCTGAAATAATATTCAAATTGCTTATGTGGATTTATATCCTTATGAACTGTCCTTGCTACTAGCTTTTTTTATTTTTATATGATGACTTAATTATTGAATTTCATTAAATGCAAAGAAAACAATCAGACTCCTTCAACCAAAATGAGAATCTACTAAAAACAAAACCCTAAAGAATATATTACAAGTTCCTTAAATTTTTTTGAAGTAAAGAGTAACAATAAGAGCTTACATTTAGAACTTTAAGATTTAAAAAGTGTTTTAGCAACTCTGAAGTTATCAAAGTAGGGATTATTATGCTCATCTTAAAGATGAAGAAACTGAGGCCCAGAGAGGTTAAGTGATTTGCCCAAGGTCTCCCAACTAATTAGTGGAAGTATGATGACTTCATCCCAAATCTTCTGAATCTAAATTCAGTGGTCTTTCCACTACACATTGCCTATTTCTCAAAATTTTCTAACTACTTAAAATTATTACAAACTTAGTAGCCTTCAGCAAAAACAAACATTAAATATATAAATACATATGAATGAGAATTAAAATGATCATATATGAAACTATAATATTTCATTTAAATTATCTACTTTTTGTAAAAAAAATATATGTGACTTAGGATGAACCATTAACTTTTCTTAAGTCACAAACCTTCAAAGGGGGAAAAAAAGACAGAAGTAATCATGAAGGAGAAAACCTCCAGACTGGTCACATTTGCCTCCAGAGATCTCAGGGGGCATGTGGAAAAAGAAATTATAGCAACATTCTCATACCTTATTGCTTCTATCTTTCAAACAAATTACCAAGTACATTACAGTTTTTCCATTTTAATAGCAAAGAAACCTTTCCTCCTATCTTCTGGTCATAAATAGTAAATCCAGCAGAAAAGGGTCACGGTAGTCTTGGTTTTTCCAGTGAAAAATATCTGCATATATTTATCTCTCTATAGATGGAGTGGGTTTAATTCTAGTACTGGTGTTTCTTTTATCTCTATTTAACTGTCAATTCTGTAAATAGGAGGACCTTACCTTCTACTTTATCAAAGTATCCAATGTAGTTCTCTACACATAATAGGGATGCAATAGATATTACTAACTTCATTATGACTATTTTCCTTACAAAGGTAATGGCTCATTGGAAGAAAAATTAGTTTGAAAATAAATGAGAATTCTTTGTTGACTATTTCATGTTTGGTGTTAAATCAACCCCCTAATGTGAGACTATGCATCTGTGACGTCTGGCTGAAGAGAAACATCGCACATCTTGACTTTTGCTGTGCTGATTGTAACCTGAACTATAACTGTGTTCAATTTACTGTGTGATTTAAAAGATTCAATTGCTAGTGATTTTTACCGTGATTTAAATTTAAGAATCAAAACAAATTTAAAGAAGAGCTAAGCAAAAAGGGACATGAGTAGATCTAGTCAAAGGAAGATGAAATTTTAATGAAGAAGGGTAAATTTAATGACATTGAAGATATTCCCATTTCCTTTGATCTATTTTATGAAATATATATTTACTGGTGAGCCTAAGTTTACAGTGACTAGGAGATAATCTGCCAAGACTGAAACTTTAGTTTCATAAATAAAATAAGGTATTTCTCAGAGAGAAAGAGAAAGAGTGAGGGAAAAAAGAGAGATGAGAGAGATAAGAGAGATGTGAGACAGAGAGAAAAGGGATGATGATAATTTCATCTTTCATCTGATAAAGAAAGCAACAAGAGAAACAGTAGCCACTCTTGAAAATCCTAACCAATGTTAAGAACAATTAGCTGGAGATGTAGAAATGGGAACAACTTTGGAAGAAAATAACTGCATTATCTTGGAGTTGGTAATAAATAAAAGGTGAGAGGGGAATGAACAGACAGCATGAAGCCTGGACTTTAAGAAAATCTACAGAAAAATTAGAATTTCACCACTAGATATCCTGAAGGCAAATGAAAGCTCACATCTGAATAGCTCAATAAAATCTGCAAAGTTCTTTAAATACATTCTTATCTAATGTGATCCTCCTAACAACCTTATGAGGTAGGTACTATTATTATCCCCATTTTAAAGATGAGGAAACTGAGGCTCAGATAAGTTAAATGATTGGCCCAGGGTTACATAGCTAGTAAGTGATTGACATGAGATTAGATGCAGCTGTTCAACTACATCAACAAACTGGAGAAGGGCAAAAACCATTGCCATTTTTAAAGAAGGCAAAAATATGGGTCATAAGAACTACATTCAGATTCAGAATTCAGATCGATATTTACCCCTGGCAAAATTTTAAAAGAATATGTTAATCAGATGCTTTAAGACAATTTATAAAAAAAAAAAAGGATAGCATGGGATCCTTAATAACAAGTCATGCCTAAATAATTTCATATAACAACTATCTATAGCTACATCAAATATCTAAATAGATAGTAGTGTAAGGTATTTTCTTCATAGCCATCCCATAGGAAGGTAATATGATTATTGTCATAAGGAAAGTGAGGCACTGAATGTTTAAGTAACTGGTCCAGAGTCACACAGGACAAAGGACTGGAGATGAGATGAACCCAGGTCATCTTGATTACAATTCCAAGCATTTTCCATGGACCTGGAGAACTGTTAATTCCCATCATTCAAAGAAATACTGACAGCACTGCATCATGCATGGGATTCCTTATGGTAGGATCAAGAAGGCAAGTGAGAGATGACTGGGCCACACTGAAGCAGCAGCCAGTGTCTGCTGCCCAAGAATCAGAAACCCCAAAGAGCTTGGAGCAGAAGCGACCAATGGCAGAAATAGCAATCTCTAGCTGTGGTCTAGGGTCTCTACTAAACAGCTGGTGTTCAGGGGAGATGTCAAAAGGTCCCCGCCTTCTACTGCTTATTGTCCCATATTTTATCTCTAGTTTCTCTCTCTTCTAACTATTCCCTAGTCTGTATTGGAGGTCCAAAAAGTATCCCAATAAAAAAAAAGGTGAAACTTTATGACAATGTGTCTGTCATGTCACTAACTTCCCAATTTGCAATAGTTTGAATCTTTGCTCTTACAAGTCTCCTTATTAACAGCCTCAGCTGCTGTGTGAGGGAATCCAAGGATGCGACACCATAATTCAGCTTGTCTGTCTAGACATGAGTGGGAATTGTGGACATAAAAATGAAACAGAGTGAACTTTCAAGAGATAACATGCTGCTTGCTTTCATTAACCTGGATACTGGAAGAATTCAATACATATAAAGGTTAGAAAACTCTACTAATAGCCATTTACAGGGCGTCTCTAATAAAAACTGTTTTTTGCATGACTGAGAATGTTAATTATTGTCTTATGTAATTTATTATTTCACAGATTCTCATTTCAGCAGCCTGGTCATCAGATAAAGTAATTGCCGGAGTCTTCCAAAGCAATTCAAATGGACACCTCTCTTTTCTTTCTTTGACTTGTAGTTTGAGCACTTCATTCTCATTTTACATTATAAATTGTACCATCCTCAACATATAATCTTATTTACTTCCAGGCCTGCCATTTCTTATTTGATGTTCTTTTACACCCATCTTTACCCTTTACTTCTTCAAAATCTAGACTCCATTCATACCTTAAAGCGGACATATCCCATCTTACATTGTTAACTTGTTTCCACAAAAAAGCACATGAAAGATAATAACAGAGGATGAATATAGGACCACTGTTGCAATTTAGCAGATAAGCTCCTGAGTGGCCAAAATTCAGACTTGAAAAGCTTAAAATCTGGTATTTCAGAGACTTTACACTATGGTAATTTAGTATGATGTTGCCCCAGTTCTCTCTTTCCCACCTTGGTGTCTTAGTTTTCTTGTCTTGGAGGCTGGTTTATTGGGAGCTACCTCCTAAATGCCACTCTCTTTGAGACCTGGAGTACAGGTACCAGGAAGGGGAGGGAGGGCTTTTGTGATGCTGTAGCACTGCCTCCCTGGTGACCTAAGATGTATACATGCGTCTTGGTGGGGTATGCAGGAGCATTGAGGCAGGTGCCTGGACTTCACTTTTAGAACAGTATACCCAGGTTGCAACCTCTATGGATACCTTGGATGTATGGGTGTGGAAGGAGGACACATGTCCAGGTGGCAGTTTCTTGGGGTTCAATGAAATTTCCTTGGGCCTCCCCAGGAATCATTTTCTGACTGGCCTAAGTATTTAAGATTTCCAGGGAAGCTACCCTTTGTTTCTGTCAATCAGAAGGAAAATGAGATTTGGGTTTCTGGAGATTGGTCATGCTTAAAGGAAAGTTTTAGATGAATTAAAAACTGAACCAATCCCTTCTGCTCTAGAATAAAACATGGTCAAAACATTGAGGTATAGTTACCGATAAATACAGGAGGAGCTGAGAAAAATATGAATCAGATAGACAAAAATGTTGCTGATAAAGGAAATAAAATTCTATCTACAAAGCATGTTTAGTACATTTTTAAAAAATGTGTTCATCTAAATAAAGCAAAAATTCCTAGAAACATGCTTTTTTTTGGAGTCTATACACACTCTCTCTTCTTTAATATAAGAAGGATGTGATCAACCTCCCTTTTATGTGAGATGTAGATATTAGTTGATATTTTGGTTAGGTTTGCTAAACTGCTTTTTTTCCACTCTCATATTCAGCAAAGAATGTGTTCTAAAAACAAAAGTTATCAATAAAAATAAGATTAAAATTTTTTTAAAAGAAGTAAATGTAATAACTTTTTACAACAATCAGTGCATGGCTTTTTTCCATATTGACACTGGGATGATTGTAAAAGTGAATATTTTGAAAAGAATTTCAAAGAAAATGTGTTTCTAGCTTCATACTGAGTTTTAAACCATGTCCTTGGCTGGTATAAGTCAGTATACTACATTCTACTGTGCTCCAAGCATTTATCTGGACATATTTTATTTTAGAGGAATACTACCTCATTTCTTGTCTGAGGGTAGATAAAGGTCCTTGAATATAATCTCAGGATCATGGAGCCAAAAAATGTCTCCTTAAAACTAAGAGGGAAGTAAAAAATTTTAGGATGATACTAGATAAGTGACTAATCTATTTTTTAAAAACCCATACTTACTAATTCCTTTACTATTATAAACTGAAGTACAAAGGTTGGGGGAGGAAATTCTCATATTTTAATTAGAAACTGGCTTAACTTCAAAGTAAAAAAAATTTGCTTAGAAAATGAGATTTTTGCATTGATGCAACTGACAAGACAGAGTTATATCACGTGGCTTAACCCACCTCTAAAAAAAGCATAATATTCACCTAAATTCAAAGCAACCTTTAAGGTTGTTCATGCCAGCAATCCCATTCTCTGCTATTCAAATTATCAGAGAGCTTTGAAAAATCACCTTAGAGTATTATTATTGTGCAATAAGAAATGTTAACTACGATGAATACAAAAAATTAGTGAGACTATAAAGTGATGCAGAGTGAAGTAAGCAGGAACAAGGAAACAATATGCACAATGACTATGGTGATGGAAATGGAAAGAAAACACAACAAAACAATAGAAATAAATGACATAGTGATCAAATTTGGCCATGAAGAGAGAAGAAAAGGCACTCCCTCTTTCCCCTCTCCTCCTGAACCTCCCCACCCACTACTGCTTCTCTGCAGCAGAGGGGTATAAGTGTGGAAGACGGTGTGTAATATCAGGCTTTTCTGATTTACTCGTTAGTTTTGCTGAACTATTTTCCCTTTATTTTTTGTTCTTTATTATCAGGGACAGTTTTCTTTAGGAAAGGGGAGGGATACATTGGGAAATGTAGGTGATACAAAAGCAGATGCTATTCATATACATTCACTTAATGAAAAAAAGTGATTTTCTCAAAGTTCAAGTCAGGTTTTAAGCTACATTTTCTCTACTGCAGTAAAAAAGGAACTGACTTTTGTTTTGTTCATTCTGACTCTTTGAAAAAATAATCTTGAGGGAAAGGAAACATAATAATTTAAAGAAACAAAGAACTATCTCACTGTTGCCTTGTGGCAAAAAGATATGAATGAGAATATAAAAATTTTAGAGCCTCCCAATACAGGAATGTAGCCAGTCTCATTTTCTTTGAATCTCCAAAATATGTCATTAACGAAAAAAGAAAATAACATGAATATGATTGTGAAATTCCATAAATATTTAGTTGGCATTTGTATTTTTTTTCTAGAAGCAAGTTTCTCCTATGTGGTCTGAAAAACTATCTACAAATTTATTTATTAGCTGCATCTGCAATAGCTGTAACATCTGTTTGAGAAGCTTAAGGAAACTCTTAAATAATTATCTTTCCTTCCACATTAGCAAACACAGTGAAGTGAATAATACCGCATATTATTTTATGGGAGGGGGTAGAAAAGAAAAGTAGCCCTGGTTCTGAATAAACTCATAGCCACTATTTTCAGGGGTTCTTCCCAAATCTCAAAAATATGCACCAACCTTGTATTAAGACAAAATACCAATTTCCTCAATTACTTGAAGTTGGTACCAACTAATCCCATGACCATGTTTCCTTATAATATAATCCTTTTTTGCAGTAGGGAGAGAGAAACTCCTTGATTACCAGAATCCCAACTACCTAAGCCATAACTATCTGAATCGCCAGGCATGCTAGCTGCTGTCTTCACCCACCTTCTTTCACTAATGAGATGTGTTCAGGAAGAAAGCAGTCTTGTAGAGAGAAGGTTTCCCCATTCTATCTCCTTCTAGCCTCAATTCCTCCAACTTTTACAATAACAGATCACTGCATTTGCCTTGTAGGCCATAAGAAAGTCTGAATGAGTTTCCCCTAGGTTCTACAGGATTCCATGTCTCCATTTATGGGCCTTGCAAATGTTAATCCAGTCAAGCAACAAACATTTAGAAAACACCTACTATGTGCCAGACACTGGGGCTACAAAGAAAAAAAATGAAACAGTCCCCGTTCTGAAGGAACTTACATTTTATCAGAGAAGACCACATATATCTATATCTGTTTATCTATGCAAAATAGATCCAAAATAAATACAACATGAGGGTTGGGGACCCTAGTAGTTGAGAGACCAAGAAAGGTCTTATACAGAAGGAAACTGGACGGAATTTTGAAGGAAACAAGGGATTCTAAAAGGCTGTAGGTGAGGAGGGAGCATCTTCCAGACAAGCAGAATACAAACACATGGTGATGGGAGATCAATATGGCCAGTTTATTTGTACCTTAGTGTGCAAGAAGAGGAATAGTGCATACCAAGGATGTCAAGGTAGTTTGGGGCCAGGTGGTGAAGGCTTTAAAAGCCATATTAGGGGATCTATAACTGATTTCAGAGGCCATACATAACTATTTGAGTTCATTAATCTAGAGAGTGATGTGGTTAGGGAGCAGCTAGGTGGTGCAGTAGATAGAGTGCCTGGCCTGGAATCAGGAGGATCTGAGTTCAAATTTAGCCTCTGACACTTATTATCTGTGCGACCCCGGACAGTCACTTAACCTTGTCTGCCTCTATTTCCTCATCTGTAAAATGAGCCGGAGAAGGAAATGGCAAACCACTCTAGTATCTCTGCCAAGAAAACCCCAAATGGGGTCATGAAGAGTTGGACATGACTGGAATGACTGAACAACAACAAGATGTCAGACTTGTACTTTAGGAAACTCACTTTTGACGAATAGGGCAGAAAGGGGAGAGACTTGAGGCAAGGAGACCAGCCAGGAACCTATCACTGCAGTCCACCCAACAGGTAAGGAAGTCTTGAACCAAGATGGTGGTCATGTGATTAGAGAGAAGGGAACTCACGGGAGAGGTGTGGATGTAAAAACAAGACTGGGGAAGTGACTATGTTTGAGCTGACACGGAGCGAAGGGTGGGGAGGATGGCAAAGCCGCAAACTGGGGCGACCAGAGAGTCTAGTTCACTACAGAAACAAAGTACCCAGAGAGGGCAGATGTTTTGGGGAAAGATAACAAGGTCTGTTTTGGACATGGCGAGTCTGAGACACTTACTGGGCACCAAGTCCGAAATGTTCAACAGGTTGTCGGAACTATGTACCTGGAGGGAGACTTAGAGGCTCAGGCTAGAGAATGCGTGTACACACACACACACACACACACACACACACACACACACACACACACACATTAGGGAGCTTCCTGCAACACATATGTGTGTATATGCATATGCATATGTATGTATGTATGCCTATACACATGCATAGGAGTTATCTGCAAAAAGATGATAATTAAACCCCTGGGAGCTGATGAGGTCAGTGGGAAATAGGGTGTAAGGAGAAGAGAAGAGAGAATAGGAAAGGAGAAGAAAAGAGAGGACAGGGGAGGAAAGGAGAGGACAGGACAGAGCCACAGTCAGAGCATGGGAAAATAACAATAAACCTGCATAGAAGCCCGAAGAGAAAGGGTCAGATAAGTGTGAGACTAATATCAAAGAAACATGGAAAGGAGAGAGCATCAAAGAGGCAAGGGTGGTCAACAGTGACAATGCTGCAGAAGAGGAGGAGGACTGAGAGAAGGCCATCAGATTTGGCAACTGAGAGATCTGAGATAGAATAATTCCCACTGCTTCTCCCTAGTATAGTTTATCCTGAGCCCCTATGGTGTATATGTGTCAGCACCATGATTCAGTGTATTTGTACTTCCTGATGGCTGCCATCTCATTTCTAATAGGAGATCCTGAACCCGTCATTTTGGACAGTTCTGTATGGCTCTTTTGGCTCTGGGATTTGGCTCTTCCTGGGACTCCTGTACTAGATTCCTGTTTGTCTCTGATCTTATTTTCTGGGCAGCCTACAACTTGATCATACCTGTGCTCCATCCCATGTCCTACAATGGAAGTATCTGGGGACTCTGCCTGTTACGTACAGCTTTGTATGACCAAAATCCAGTGCTTTTCTGGAGTCACTATCCACCTTTGCCATATAACATCAAGCATTCCATTTCAAGATACAACACGATGGCAAAGCAGTAATATTGCAAAAGGCCTTTCATTCCCTATATCACACTAGATCACTTCCGTGGTTTAAAAAAAGTGTAAAAAAAATTTATCTTTTGGGGTGTATTTTGGCATTTTGTAAATAAAATTAGACTAAGAATCAAGAAGTCTTGGTCCTAATTCTGGCTGTATTACTAATGAGCTGTGTGACTTTGTGCAAGTCACTTAACTTTTCTATGCCTTATTAACTTCATCTCTTAAATGGGGATAACAATTTTTGCCCTACTTACTTCAAAAAGTTGTTGAAAAGATTAATCATTAAAATATAAGTAAATGTTCTTTGAAAAGCACAAAATTCTATGCAAAATGTAGTTATTATTTAATATCACCTTAAAACAATCCTGGTTTATGTTGTCTTATATACCATATTACCAGATTTCCTCAAAGTGATTTGACTTTTTCATAGGAACCAAATGAAATAGCAAAGCCTCCCAAATATTGCCTAATACTTACCATACAATGGCTAATCTTGGAATTGTAAACATTAATGCTGGTTCATAGTCATCAATCATGTCTTGAGTGAGGTATCCAAGCTTTAGAGCTCTAGCCAATTTAAAAAAAGGAAATTATTAATAACTTGTTACTTTTTCAGTAGATTATATACAAATGAACAGTCAGAAAACTTGCAATTTCATGAAAGATGGAAAAAAATACAATGATGGCTGCCATTTTTTTTTTTACCAATTCACTGGCTCAAATGCAAAACCCTTCCCCTACCCCCCTACCGACCAAATTAGGAGGAAACAAACACTTTAAACAAGGCATTAGCGTCAGAACTTAGCTTACCATTTTCCGTGGTGATGTCACTGTTAATAACTGATACCTCATAGCTGTATTCCCGGCCCCACAATCCCTTGTAATGTCATTGTTAACACCTAAAACCTTTTAAATTTTGATTGGGAAGGGAACCACAGTAAAGTCCTTTACTTCCCAAACCAGCTCACCAATGCAGGAATGTTTCGCAAATAAGTCAAGACTTTGAGAAAGCAACTTTCTGCTGTCAAAGCAATGTTACACTATTGGATCCCTGAGGAGTCATGAATGAATGAATGAATGAATGAATGAAAAGCCAAGTACTAATCTCTGAGAGTACAAAAAGAAAAAGTGAGATGGTCCCTGTTGTCCAGGAGCTCCAGCTCTAACTGGGAGAGCCATCATATAGAAGCAAGGTCAATTTAAGGCAGATCAAAAGGTCCTGAAGTCCCAAAGGATTAGGTGTTGGGAGGGATGACAAAGTCTTGGGTCGACAGGGACATAATCTTTCCTCTTTTCTCCACTCAGACAATGACTTCAATCTAGGCCATTATCCCCTTCAGCCAGGGCTATGGTACTAGCTTCCCAATTTAGTTTCTCTAGTTTCTACCTTTCCTCCCTCTAATCCCATATTCACATAGTTGTTAAAATATCCTTCCTAGAGTACAAGTCTAAGTAATTTCCCTGCTCATTTGCCTTCACTGACTCCCTACCGCCTCAAGGATAAAATAGGAATTTCTCAGCCTGACATTTAAAGCCCTCTACAATCTGGCTACTTTTCTCAACTCAGCTCATATTTCTTTTCATATCTTTTCTGTTCTAGTGAACATAATTCAAATTCAAGATTCCTCGGTCTCTGTGCCATGATAGAATCTGTCCCCATTATCTACAATGGCACCTCACAGAGTCCTTTTCTTCTTTTGAGCCTCACCCACCAAATACATAGTCTTTCCTGACACACCCCGGGCCCTACCCCTGCATTTTAAATATTCTTTCCCTCCCCAAATGACCTCCTATTTCCTTAGGTAAGGTTATAGTCTATTTCCTGTCCATTTCCACTGAAACCTGCTTCAGTGGAACATAAGCTCCTTAAAAACAATGGTTATTTCATTTTTGTCTATCTACAGTATCCTGTACATATTGAGATTTTAATAAATGTTGTCAAACTAAACTGATTCAATGGCAGAGATCTGTGAAGTAGTGAATGCTAAATTTAATCTTATTAGATTTAACCCATCCTTCCCATCTGTTTTAGTTTTTGCTGATAACTGCTGACTCCATTAAACTGTGTTTACCTTTCTTTGTATTTCTAATACTAGGCACAGTGTCTGGCACACAGTAAATGTGTAATAAATGCTTGTTGACTGACTGGCTGGCAAATGGGGCTCCATAAGAAAAAAATACTCAAAATTTTCAACATTGACCTAGCTAGGTCCTAAATAGCTAAAAGTAATGATTCTGAGTTTTCATGCTCCACAGAAAAACAGAACTGCCCCCATCCTCACCTCTATTTCATCCTTTAGAAAATAATATTTCATAATCATCAGTTATTTGGTAATCCTACAAAAGACTAAATTGTGGGAAATTAAAAGCATAATCAATTAGTTATTTATCTTTTGTATTCTTACCTCGCCACTGTTTCGCAAAAAAGCACGATTACCTCCTGTTGTACATAATATTCTTTTGGCGACTTTACTGGTACCATGGCTGAGACATAACTAAAAAGACAACAAAGTGTTATGTTTTAATTATAAAATGCTGTGATTTTGTCTCTCCAAACAGCTCAATATCTTGATTAAAACCAAAAAATGGATAAACATTTTAATTATAGCATCACTCCTTTTGGGTGGACAATTGCACAAATGCAACAATTTTTAACGAGAGTAAAAATGAAAATCATTCATAAGTATAGTTGCTTAGTTACTTAAGGAAGTGGCAGATTTATTAAACTGCTTTCTAGGAAATAATATTCTGGAATATTAATTTTGGCTTGAGTTCACTAGAACTGTTTACTTGTCTTCTCAAGGTTGCAGAATGGCTTGTTTTCTCTCATTTCTAATAAGAAAACAATTAAAAAAGAGAACTACAATACTGTGATTCCTATGAAAACTTTAAGTCAGGTAAAACATCACTATCTGAGCACCAAAATCCAAAAGAAATAGCAAACTAGTTGCAGGAATGGAGAGTCAAGCCTTGTAGGAAGTATCAGTGCAAGTGGCAAAATGCAGGACCATTTTTTTTAATTTAATCTGTCTCCTCAAAGCTTTGCCCCTTTCCTGATGGCTACATGCATTCCCTATCTCCAAAGCATATTTATGGTTTCAAGCTGTGTTTTATACTCTCTTTATTTTAGAATTTGTGTTAGGGAAGGAAAGGAAATCCAAGTAAAGTTTGACACAAACTCTAGGCTTTCAAGGACAAGATTTCAAAGGGTCATGGAAGGGAAAATTATTCAGCCACAAAGGAAAGGAGCAGTCTAAAGAGAGTGAAGCAACTGTACCAGAAATCGGCAGGGTGGTTTTTAATATTTTTTTAATATCACATTCATTTCTAAATATTTCCCTTCATCTAAGCCTATTCATTGAACTAATTCTTGGTGACAAAGATTATAAAAAGAAAAAGTAAGTATCAAACTCAACCAGCATATTGACTGTGTTAGACAGTATATTGCACATCCTTACTCACCCACCTCTACAACGAAGGGAGGGAAGTGGTTTTTCCCCCCCCAACACTTTTTTAGGAGTAAGATTAGTCATTTTAATTGTGCTGCATTCAAGTTCAGGGTTTTGTTCTGTTTTGTTGTTTCCCTTTGCATTAACAGTCATCAAGCATATTGTTTTACTAGTTCTAATTGTTTAATTTTGTATCAGTTCATATAAGTCTTCAAATGTTTCTAGAAATTTATCACATTCATTGCTTCTTATGGTAGAATACCATCACACTATTCCTTAATCTACAGACATCTAATTTCTTTAATATTCTTTGCTGCTGTAAGAAGAATGGCTATAAATAGGTTGGTGTGGCTAGGGGCCTTTTTCTTTTTTGTTATTATATCCTTGGGGAATATGCCAGAAATGGGATCACTGGGTCAAAGATTACAGAAATTTCAGTCTCTTTTGCAGCTTAATTCCACATTACTTTTTAGAATAGTTGAAACAATTCACAATTCCATAGTAATTTATTGCACTGGTCTTCTCATAGCTCCTCAAACATTGACTTCTTACATATTTTATCATCCTTGCCAATTTGCTGAGTACAATGTGAAACCCCAAAGTTTTGATTTACATTTCTCTTACTACTTGAGATTTGGAGCAAACTTTCATTAAGGTTAACAGTTTGCAATTCTTTTGAGAAACTTTGTTCACAAACTTAGACCACTTTTGCAATGGAAAATGCCTCTTTATGTGATACATTCATTTGTTAATTCCTTACGTATCTTAGACGTTAAGTAACAGTAATATTTGACAAGCAAGGTTTTTCTAAAACGGAAACTCTTCCTTCTTTTTCCTAAGTGCATTGATTTTGTTGATAAAAAAGCTTTTCAATTTCATGTAGTCAAAACTGCCTATTTTGTCTTTTGTGGTATCCTGCAACCCTCATTTGATTAAGAATTCTTACCCTAGTCAAAATTTCATTGTTTTGAAAGGTACTCAGTTTCCTCCATTCATAACCTTTCTCATGGCATGACCATTCACATTCATGTTTCATATCCATTCTGAGCCTATTGCAACATGGTACAAGCCGATATTGTCATATAGATGTGTGTATGTATATGTACACACACACACACACACACACAAGCTATTCTAAACCTAAATTTCTACTAAACTACTTTTCAGCTTTCCCAGCAGTTCTTATCACACAGGGAGTTCTTTTCCAAATATTTTGTGTCCTCAAGTTAATAGAGCACTAGGTGATGCCTGCTAATCCAGTTTATTCTACTCACTTGTTTGTGTATTTCCTATGTGTTACCAACTAGTTTTGATGATTACTGCTTTAGTACATTCCATGTTTACAGTGGGAATGTTTTGATACTATTGCTCGTGCTACTAGGAACTCAATTAATGCATTTTTAATTGAACTGATTGCACAAAGTAGCTTGGGAGCTCTGTGTGCATATATTAGAATCACAGAACTTTTCAGTGTCCTTGAAATCATTCAGTCTTACAGGAAGAAGTATACTCAAATTACTCCAGAAAAGCAATCACCCTCCTTATATAAAATTTCAGTAAAGACCTTTGCTTTGAGCTAACTATGTCAATTGGCTATTAAATGTGAATGCACCAATGGAGACTCAGAAGCCACAGATTTAGTATAGAACCCGTAGTGTACTCTGAACCTGGCATAGTTCCTTCCTAGAACCAGGGACTCAATTTGCAAGGGCAAGGAGGGGAGCAGCTCTGAAGGAGTTGTTATATTCGAAGGGAAAAAAAGATATTTCAGGTGGGTGAGATAATATGATTAAGGGATGGAAGCAGCAATGAACATTGTATATAAAGGGTAGAAAGACTGATTTATATTTTACTATTCAAAGTTTACCACTTCCACGTAATCTTGTGAGATTACTCTCATACCTACAGTACTTGTCTCTAATCTTTGGACTCTTAACATTTAAAACTTTGTGACATAGTATCTTGCACTGCTTTTAATTCTTGTATTTGTATCCTGTTTGTTTTGTCCCCCAAGCTCCTTGGAGGCAAATAACTTATCTTAGACTTCTCTTAGACTTCTCCAAATCATTTAGAACTAAACATAAGAGATAAACCTTTAACAATCCATGCAGGAAAAACAAAGCAGATGAAGAGGTACTGTTCAGACTGGGATACAGGGATATACACTTGGTTGAAGAGACCATACAAAGAGTCCATTAGTACGCTTATTGTACACAGCTACTGCTGATAGGGAATGCCTAGGTCCAGAGGACCTAGGAATAAGAGGAAGAAAACAGGCTAATTTTCTTTGAGGAAATTGTGTAGCATTTTTTTAAATTTCAAATTGGTTCTTGAAACAAAAACACATTCTCTTAATCCTAATATCCTGTCCTGTAATGCTGTAGGACTATGGACCATAGGATACAAACTCTGAAGAAACAAAACTATGAGTGACTGAAAGCACAACTAAGAACCCCACACTAATTATGAAGAACTGTAACATATTTATAATGATGACTTCCACATAAGAAGTGGCAGAAAAGACAATATCTCTGATTAAGAACTTAAGCAACTTGAGTAACAGTCCGTCCTCATGTTGGATCATGCTTTGACAATAATGACAATACAACCTAAATTCAGTGCTATCAAAGTACAAAACAAGACAAAAATAATAAGATTTGCAGAAAAAAAATTCTAGAATATCAAGGGACACAATGAAAAAAAGACAGGAATGAAGTGGAAATAGCAGACCTCAAATTCCAGACATCACAATATATTATGAAGTGGCAATAATCAAAACCATTTGGTACTGGTAAAAAAAAAAACCAGAAAGATATATCAATAGAACAAAGCAGAAAAAAATCAGAAATAACCTAGTGCTCTACAAACCTGAAAAACATACATTACCCAGGCAAGAAGCTTCTATGTAACAAAAATTGCTGGAAAAACTAGAAAGCAGTATGGAAGAAACATAGTTAAAACCAAGATCTTACACCATGCCAGATTAAACTCAAATTGGTTATATGTCCTGAACATTAAAGGTCACACCATAAAAAAAGTCAGAAGAGAAGCAAACCAGGTATCTTTCACAGCTATGGCTAAGAATTGAATTCTAAACCAAACAAAGGATAGAGATGACTACAAAGACAAAGTAGATTATTTCAATCACATGAAATTGAAAGGATTTTGCATGAACAAAATTAAGGCAACTAGGATAAGAAGGGAAGTGACTGGGAAAAAATTTTTTTTCTACCATATTATCTCTGATAAAGATCTGGTATTAAGATACATAGATAACTAATAGAAATATATAAGACCAAAAACCATTCCTCAATAGAAAAGTGGCTAAATATCAAGAGTTGTTAAAAGAAGAATTTCAAACTATTAACAACTATATGAAAGAATACACTGAATTACTAATAATAAGAGAAAGACAAACCAAAACAATTCTGAGATTTCACCTCATACCTTGTAGATTGGCAATGACAGTTAAGGGCTGATAGAAAGACAGGCACACAAATGCACTATTGGTAGAGCTGTGAACTAGTATAACCGTTCTGGAAATCATTTTATAATTATACTAAGAAAATGACTAAAGTGTTTATCAAAAATAAATCAATCCACAAGTATTCATTAAGTACCTACTATGTGCTATGGCACTGGGGATACAAGTAAAAAGGAAGGAAAATCTCTACTTGCAATGAGCTTACATCCTAATGAGGGAGCACAATATTTACATAAAAACATACACTGTTAAAGTAAAAATATATACAAAATAGTTCGTTGCAAGGTAGTCTGGGAGGGAGTACACTAGCAGTTGGAAGCGATGAGAAAAGGCTTCATGTAGAAGGTGGGTGTCTGAGTTGCATCTTAAAAGAGGAGAGAAAAAAAAGAGGAGAGAACTTTATAAAGCAAAGGCAAGGAATGAGGCAAAGCCATGGAAAATAGAGAAACGGAATGTGTGTAAGAGGAACAAAGACAAGGCCAGTTTGGCTGTATTGAAGAGTGCAAGAGATGGGCGATGTTCAATGAGAGTGAAAAGATAGCTTAGGTTGAGGTATAATAAAAGACCTTAAAAACCAAACAAAGGAATTTAGTTTATCATAGAGCTAAAGCATACACCCCAAGGATATAATGATAAAAAAGAAAGGTCTATATACACCAAAAATATTTAACAGAACTTTTTGTAGTTGCAAAGAACTGCAAACAAGTAGATGTCCATCAAATGGATAATGGTAAAACAAATTATGGTACATAAACATAGTGGAATATTACCGTGCTATAAGAAATAATAAGTTTCCCTCATCTTGGCTGCCCTCCTCCAGCTCCTCTCTAGCTCATCAATGACCTTCTTAAAATGTGGTGTCCAGAATGTCCCACAATGCTTCAGGTGAGGTCTCATGAGGGAAGGTAGAGCTCACCTGGGCTGTCATCTCCCTCATCCTAGATATTGCCCTGCCCTTAGCAAGTGTAATGCAAGATGGAGTTACATTCTTTGGCCACCATTTCACACAGTTGACTCATATTGAGTTTTTAATCCACTAAAAAGCTCAGATTTCTTTCAGAGAAATATCTCTTCTCTTGTCCTTGTGAAGTTTATTTCTTGTACTCAACTGTAAGACTTTACATAGATGCTCACTAGGTTTCACTCAATTAATTTGGATTCAGAACATTGTTAGGGTATGTTCTCTGCATCCTATTCCTAGTACTTACAAAGAACTGATTAGGGAGGGATTCTGAAGAAGGGACAAAGAAAATCTACCAAATAGCTAGAGATTGTGAAATTCATCCTAAGACCTGAGCTGCAGCCAATGGCAAGGGGAGGGACAGAGTGGGCACTGAATGAAGGTGTCAAGGACAGGGAAAGGTGGTGGGAACAGAGCCTGGGGAGAGGATGGGGAACATGGGGGTGAGTGAGAGAATGGAGGACATGACTGGAGCCCTCCTCTCACCAAACTCAAAACTATCTGAATAAAAACGGCTGTTCAACCCTAAAAAAAAAGAAAGAAAGAAATAATAAGTAGGACAAATACAGAGAAATGTGAGAAGACTGAAAGGAACTTATATAAAATGGAAAAAATACACATTGATGACAATATAAATAGGAAGAACAACCATAAAATAATTGAAACTGAGTGCTATAAAATTATGATGACCAGAAAAAACATGAGAGGTCACATTCCTCCCTTCTTAGATGAGGTAAGGAACTATTGTTGTAGAATATTATTGATGATATCAGACTTCTTTGATATATGCTGCTCAGTTTTGCTGCATTATGGTTTTTTTTCTCTCTGTTTATTCTTTGTTATAAGATATGGATCTCCGGGGGCATGGGGACATCGGGAAATATTTGTCAAGTAAAAACAAAAGATAAAACTGTATTTTTTTTTCAAATATACATCATCCAAGAGATATATGTTTAGAAAAGGGGGGTGGGTTAGTTATGTAGTGACAGACAAAAGATGGACAGCCAAAATTCTATATTGCACTTAATGATAAAAAACCTACACTCTAGAACAAGGGTTCTTAATCAAAAGTCCATAAACTTGGTTTTTCAACATTTTGATAAAATTTCAATATTTATTTCATTTATTCAAAAACAGTATTCTGAAAAATTATCTCAATCTAGTTCTACTAGACTGTCAAAGGGAATAGGACACAAAAAAGGTTAAGAACCATTCCCCTAAAGGAAGGCCTCCTGCATGTTGGGTGAATAAAAGAATGTGGACAAGATTTGCACGTGATGAGATGGGGAGAGGAATCTGATATGCTCTGATGGAGGAAGTACTCACGTTAATGAGATCGTGAATCCACTGAAACATGGTAAATGCTTAGTAAATACTTAATTAAATGATTGGTTTCACACGTTGGGATTTGCCCACAACTAGAAAGGCCTCCATCATGTAATTATTTTTTTAGCCATTCAACTTGCTATAAGAATCAATCTCTCTGCTTAGCAAATAAATATCAAAGCTTTGAACATTTAGCCACAGTATTGACAGCATTTAAAATTTACCTCAACTCAAATTCAGCAAATAGGACATCAAAATGTTTGAGAGACTCTTTCATTTTTTCAGTATAAATATTTAAATCTCTTAAGGCTTGGTCCCGAATGAGGTTTCTAAGTTCTTCCAAGCTACGCGTCAGATCCTTAGCTAGTGGCCTCATAGCCATGCTCTCTATTTCACGATTCATGATAATTGAACCTGCAGACAAGCACTGTTAAAACAGAAGAGATGAGAAAGTTAAGAGTTTGAACTATTAATAAAATTTTGACATATAAATTTCCTTAGTTATGACTGTCCAAATAGACAAAAGTAGATACCAACACATTTTGCTGGCCCTTTGATTCTCATTATTTAGAACACATCAGGAATTGGGGCAAAACAAAGATTGCTACAAAGAAAATATTTTGCCAATTACAAAAAAAAAGGGCTTAAAATTAATTTACTTTTCCGTAATTGATTTTTTAGTTCCTATTTTTGTGAATTTAGTTGCTTGTCTAGCATGCAGCAACTGTTGGAAAAAACTGTAATTCTAGCAATTTTACAATAATTTGTTTTGCTAGTATATAGTATAAAGATATTCCCATGAGAGTATTCCCCTCTCCTATGCCAGTCGAACAAATTTTCACTAATATGTAAAAATAGAGATACAAACAATGCTAGGGCAATGTCTTCCCATCCTTAATGTAATCTACTTATTTAACAGGGTTCTAAGAAACCTCTCTAATCCCTTTTCTCTCAAACCATGCCAGAATTTTCCATTCATTTGCTTATTTGCTTAACATATATCGAAAGAGGGCAAGTAAGTGGTACAGGGACAGAGCACCAGGCCTGGTGTCAGAATGCCTGAGTCGTCAAGCCTCAGACAACTACTAACTGTGTGATGCTGGGCAAGTCACTTAACCTTTGTTTGCCTCAGTTTCCTCATCTACAAAATGAGCTATAGAAGGAAATGGAAAACCACTCCAGTATCTTTGTAAAGAAAACCCCAAATGAGGTCACCAAGAGTCAGACACAACTGAAATGACTCAATAACAACAACAAATGGGGATATAACAGTACCTACCTCCCAGAGTCGTTGTGAGGATCAAAAGAGTTAATATTTGTAAAGTATTTACCATAGTACCTTGTACACAAAAGGCACCATATAAATGTTAGCTATTATTATTATTGAAATAAATACTACAACACTAGAGGGAAGGGGAAACCTTCTAAAGAAAGGTAGTTAGGTAAATTTTTGAAAAAACTAAGATATAAAGTCTATTTCCTCTCACGGTCTCAATGTCATCTGTAAGAATTAGATCTGTTTAAAAATTAGATTAGATTAGGAATTCTTAACTTGTTTTGTGTCATGGACCCTTTTGGCAGTCTGATGAAGTCTATGGATCCCTTCCTAGAATCATATTTTAAATTAATAAAATAAAACATATGGGAAACCATTTATACTGAAATATAGTTATGAAAATATTTTTAAATGAATTCACAGCCCCTAGGTTCAGGACCTCTACATTATATGACCTCAAAGGTCTCTTTACTGCACTAAATCAATGATACTATTTTAAACTCTGGGCAGCTAGGTGGCACAGTGGATACAGTGGCTGGCCTGGAGTCAGGAAGACCTGAGTTCAATGACCTCAGACTCTTACTAGCTGTGTGACCTTGGGAGCACAGTTTTACTCAGTTTCTTCACACATAAAATGAGCTGGAGAGGGAAACAGCAAACCAGTCCAGGACCTTTGCCAAGAAAACCCCAAATAGGGTCACAAAGAGTCAGACATGACTGACTAAACAATTTTAAACTCCAGGAAACAACAAATCATCTCAGTTTTCATAATCAGCAACCTTTCTCCCTAATACAAATGTTATGAAGATCTCAAGATTTCAAGAAAATAAAGTCTTCCTCGTAAAAAAGGTGAGCACCCATGTCCTAGGGAAATAAGTCCAATTGGCATGCTCAGGAAAATGACATTTATTAAAGCAATCTCACCAAAATGAAGGTTTAAGATAGCATAATAAGTTACTTTTAAAAAAAAAGGTCCAAAGTCACTCAATAGATTAAATTTTTTTGCTCTCAAAATTGAAAATATATATATATATATATATATATATGTAAATTAAAGACATGGTTCCCAGTTGTTTGTTCCTGTGCTCGCTAAAAATAACCAGATCTTCTTTAAACAAAAAGTAGCTCTGAGAACAGATGGCAATTTGTCCAATTTAAATCTTATTTTCTTTAATACATGAATGGGAAAATTATGTTCATGACACTGTGTAGTGGAAAGAGCCCTAGGGTAGAGTTAAAAGACCTAGATTCAGATCCCAGTTCTGTCATCTCCTAGGCATGTGGCCTGGAGTAAGGGGCTTAAACTCTTTTCAGCCTCAGATTCCTCACCTGAAAAATAACAACAGGAATAACTGTTTTACCTCCTTTAAAAAATTGTTTTGAAGAAAGCCAAGCTGAAAAACCTAAAGTAATAGGTATAAGTCTATGTTGTTTCAGCTTCAAATACCAAGAAAAAGCATATTTATTTGTTAGTTATGTGCATTACAAAAACAAAATCACAGAAATCAGAAACCCTACCTCTGCTCCAAACCAAAGCTGGCCAGCCAGATTATCATGACGTATCTCCTCTGGGAACTTAACACAAAAATCCCGATTTGCTCGATCACTTGGAATGCATTCATCCATTATCTGATTTATAATGTTTAACACATTATCCTGAAACAGAAATAGTTTAAAATTATGTAAAATTTTCTCCTGCACCACAAACTGAGTTAAAATAATATGGTTGGATTTAACAAGTATACTGGAGTTTATCATCTGAAAATAAATATTCCTTTTATTAAGTAAATAATATATACCTGACTTGCCGTGGGCCACATAGCTAGTAAGCATCAGCAGCTGGATTTTAATTCAGGTTTTCCTCACTCCAGGTCTGGCACTCTGTTCACTCTGGCCTCAGACACTTACTAGCTGTGTGATCCTGGGCAAGTCATTTAACCCTATTTGCCTCAGCTTCCTCACCTGTAAAATGAGCTGGAGGAGGAAATGGCAAATCACTACTGTATCTTTGCCAAGAAAACCCAAAATGGGGTCATGAAGAGTCAGACATGACTGAAAAATGAAATACATACCTGTGGCATTCAAGTTCTATACAAAATAAATAAAAACAACTTAGTTTGTGTTTATGTGGTCAAGGAAATTTCAGAGAATCATAGAATTTCAGAACCAGAAGGGCTCTTGGAGGCAATGAAATCCAACTCCTATATTTTACAAATTAACAAGTTAAAGTTCAAAGAAAAAAAAGGAGTTGCCTAATTCTGGAAAATTAGAAGAGGCAAGGTAATGAAGAGCTTCAAATGCCCAACGGAGGACTTCATTTTTGCTCCTGGAGAAAATGTGGAACCACTGGAGCTCACTGAATGGGAGGGCCTACACTTTAGAAGAATCATCCTGGCTGCTTGGTGGAAGATAGAGTGGAACAAAGTATCATTTGAGGCAGGAAGAAGGCTATTTATTGCAATAGTCTAGATAAGAGGCAATGAGGGTCAGAACTAGGATTGTTGCCGTATGAATGAAAAGAAGAAGATGTATATAAGAGATACAGTGAAGGGTGAGCAATAAGATTTTTTAATGTATTGAATATATGGGGTGAATCATAGTGAACAGCTGAGGAAGACCCCAAGGTCGTAAGCCTGGGTGATTAGAATGATGGTGATGGAAAATGGGGGAAGGGAAGAGAGGAGCACATAAACCTTACTCTCATTGGAATTGGCTCAAGGAGGAAATAACACACATACTCAGTTGGGTGCAAAAATATATCCTACCCTACAGGAAAGTAGGAAGGGAAGGGGATAAGAGAAAGAGGGGTGTGTTAGAAAGGAGGGCAAGGTTAGAAGGTAAAAGTCAGAAGCAAAACACTTTTGAGAATGGACAGGGTGAAAGGAAAGAGAGAGAGCAGGATAGACAAGAGGAAACAGAATAGAAGGAAATATATAGTTGGTAATCAATACCATGAAAAAAATTTACAGAAAGTTTCTCTAATAAAGAGTTCATTTCTCAAACATACAGAAAACTGAGTCAAACTCATAGAAATAACAGCCATTCCTCAACTGATAAATGATTCTTCAGATGGAAATTACCCTACTTTGGGCTCCTCCTGCATGACAGTGCTTTGGGTTTCTGTTCTATCAAAGGATATAAACACGCAGTTTTCAGACAAAATAATCAAGCTATCTATTGTCATATGAAAAAATGCTCTAAATCCCATGGCCTAGATAAATGCAAATTAAAACAACTCTGAGCTTTTTCTTTTCTTCCTTTATTTTTTCTTGAGGGTTTTTGTCTGTGTTTTCTTTCCCAGCATGACTACACATGTATAACTTATGTCAAATAGCTTGCCTCCTCAATGAAGTGGGGAGGGAGAGAATTCGAAACTCAAAAATTTGTAAAATGAATATTAAAATTGTTTTTACACACAATTGGGGAAAATATTAAAAAAGACAAAAAAATGCTGGTGATGCCCTTCACATTATTTATTTTTTCAACACATTTTTAAGAATGTTTGGGACATCACCAAAAGTCAGTTAATCATTCTGTCCTTCCCTGATTTCCCTATGTATTACCTTCTCTCTACCATAGCTTTCTTCTTTTTTACAGTCTCTTGACCCTGCACACTACACTCTACTGTTCAATCTGTTGTCATTTTTTCCTATTAATACTCACGCTCTGCCAAACTCCAACCAACAGGTTACCCCATCATCCACTGTTTCTGCTCCTTCTCATGTACTACTGAATGGTGCTAGTAAAAGTCATAGAAGCAGGCTAAGTTGATGGCAAATGTACGTTCTCTGTTGTCAACTGGATCCTCACTGCCAACCTGAAACCTTTTATTCTCCCCTGATTGACTCTTCCCCTCTCCCATCCTGGATTTTCTTTTTTATTTAATTTTTTAAACTAATTTTGTTTCCACCAATAAAAATCTGCCTTTTCTCCCTCCCACCTCCTAAGAAAACCCAAACTACTTTTATAAATATATATAGTCAAGTAAAACAAATTCCTGTTTGTATTGGCTTTGTGTATATATCTATATCTATATCTATATATCTATATGGCTATACATATATATCTATATCTATATATCTATATCTATATCTATATCTATATCTATATCTATATATAAAAGCATCTCAAACTTCTCTCCTGAATCCACCACTTCTCTGTCCAGAGATGGGTAGTATAGTTCCTCATCAGTCCTTTGGAATTGTGGTTAATCATTGCATTGATCAGAGCTCCTAAGTCTTTCAGAGTTGTCTATCTTTATAATTTCATTCTTGTTACATAAATTGTTCCACTGGTTCTTCTCACTGCACTCTGCATCAGTTCATAAAAGTCTTCTTGGATGACTTCTGACATTAGCTATGTGACTGTGCACAAGCCACTTAACCTCTATGAAATCTTAACTTCTTTATCTTTAAAATGGCAATAACAATGTCTGTAGTACCAAATTCAAGGGGCTACATGAATGTCAGGTGTTTTTATTACTCCATGGCAACTAGCCTGGTGGTTATAGGCAGGTAGATTTCTCCCTTTCCCTTTGTTTTTAACTGATTACCTTTTTGATTATGCACATGATAGTGGCTTCCATTTTGGAAGGACATGCTTCTCAGTTTATTTAGAATAATGGTATCATGAAATTACAGGGTTGAAAGGAGGCTTCAAAATCGACTACTCCCATTCCTCTCCCTCCCCTCTCATTTTACAAATGAAGAAATTCAGAGAAAAGCCAAGACTAGAGAAACCAGGTCTCTAATACTGAATTCTCTCTGCTATATTATACTCCTAATTTTTAGTGTGTGTTTTAGTGCTTTGTATGGTAAGGAGGAAAAGTTGTTTATAAATCTTTTAGAAAGAAGACAGAAATAGAAATCTGAATACTTGAGTTTTAGTCCTGGCTTAGCTATTAAGTGGCCTTTCTAATGAGTCCCCCTCTCAAATTGCCCTCCATTTGCTCTCTCTATATTTCATATGAGTAAAGTTATTTACTTGTTATTTCTTCTACCTGAATGCAAGCTAAATGAAGGCAGGGGTTGTTTATGCCTTTCTTTGTATCACCAGTACTTGGCACTGTGCCTGGCATGTAGAGAGTGCTTAATAAAGGCTTGTTCATTGACTGGTCGCCCTGGGTGTGTGTGTGTGTGTGTGTGTGTGTGTGTGTGTGTGTGTGTGTGTGTGTGTGTGTGTGTGTGTGTGTGTGTAGTTTTGTTACCAGTTAGCATAAATTGCTCCTGAAGAGCAGAACCAAAATATGACTTCTGTGTCATATGAAGTATTTTAATAATTAAGGTTTAGCTTCCAAGCGATATTTAGAAATTCAAACTGATTTAAAGATTTTGCTCAAGTTCACCCTATGAACCAATTGAGTTAAAACTAAACCTAAATATCAAGATTCAAGGTCTAGTGCCATACCCATTTAAACTGAAATCATCCTGAATTATATAAAATAAGTTTTAAGGGTAGTAAAATGTGAGCTTCAGTACCTCATTTCAAATTTAGCCTATTACAGAAAAAAACAAAAGAACCCAAAAACCACTTGTGATGTTGTTATATCACGGAGGTAATGGCTAAGAAGTTTCCCTTGCTTTCTGTTACTGAATAGTAAAGACTCAACCGAACCGTTCTCTTTAGTTATTTGGTTTTCAGAAATAACATTTTCTCATTATGACACATTGTCCAGTTTCTTTGGGAAAAAAAACCATCTCTACATGTTGTGTAACTAGTAACTTGAACTGTTTAAATACTATATACGTAGACATCTGAAAAAATAATTTTCTACATCCCCAATTATTTCATTTTTCACAATTCTATAGTAGTGATTGACTTGTATCCACAACAGCATTAATTAAAAAACCAGATATTTCATTTCTTTTCCTGATTCTACAAGCTTCTGCCATCATAAAACCTACAAAAGGAATGTGTGAAAATTATCTACATGATGAGTTCAGATGGAGTTAGCAATCCATACTCTGGAAGAATGCCAATCAATTGACATGAACTATCCAATGCACAGTCAGCAAATGAATCCCTGGTTTAACAGAATTTCATGGATCATTCAAAGTAGCTAATTACAATAAATTGCATGATAACCTAAAAATGAACGTACTCAAGCATGTGGGGATGTGGTTTAGTTCAGGAAACAAAAATCAATTGGTTGGTTATAAAATACTCAATGCTTTATTCAATTGATATTGCTCCAGTGAAACATAAGGATTCCAATTCCACATCACTATTAGATTTAATAGTTACCCTTTAGTTCATACACAAGGTTTAATTTCAATAATTAGTTTAAAAATCTTAAGTAGAATGGGTAGTAAAGCTAAACTCTCCATTTAAGCTTAAACCCCATATTCCTTGGCTATGTAAAAAATACATCAAGGAGCACTTATTTTCTAGTTCAAAGGATAATAGTTTTAGAGGTACAAAAGACTTTACAGTCATTGAATCTAATGCCTTCACTTTGTTATTGTTCAGTCGTTCAGGAGCGTCTGACTCTGCAACCCCATGGACCATAGTACGCCAAGGCCCCTCTATCTTCCACTACCTTTTAAAGTCTGTTCAAGTTCACATTTGTTGTTTCCATGACACTATCTATCCATCTCATCCTCTGCCATCCCCTTTTCCTTTTGCCTTCAATCTTGCCCAACATCAGGGTCCTTTCC